GTAACTCTACCGGATGGCGCTACCGCGCGAAATAAACATCATATTCGTTTCAGCGTACCAAATAAGCCTCATAGGCAAAGTTTCAGCAAAATCCACGATTTTCATTTTTGGGTCAACTAATGTGGGTACCGAATATTTTATGAACAAGTGCATCAGCAAAAAACATGGCCAAATTTGCAATTTACATACTCTACCGTATACTTACCGTAATCCTACGAAATTATTTTACTGTGCGGGTGAAAGTGAAAGCTGCAATCTTGCCCACTGTCAAGTTGAAGCAATCCGAGTTGAATAGGCTGCATCGTGTCAACTTTCACGAGACTGCAGTGGCCAGCCGGTTACCCATTTTAGGTACTGGATTCTTTGTAAATATCTAATTCCTGTCAACTCCTTGACGGAGGATAAGATTTGGTCAGCTGAGGACAGGGACGAACCTTGACAGCTCCTCTCATACGTCGCGCACCTACGCCCATGTCAAGATAGTTATAGGAAAAGGCTAAAAGCTTTACAAAGACATCTATAGCTGCTTATTCACTACGTTGTCGTCGCATCATGCTTGTTTCTTCATCTCCATCCCCTCGTCAGCGCTGTTGTCAATTGCGCCTACCGCGCTCCAAGGCGATTAAAGGAATGACGAAGCGCCGCAGGACCCAACAATTACAGTAAAGAAATGAATTCTCCGCTTTGATTTCTTTTTGGCCTACAGGAACATAAGATTATAGTTTTCTAAATCGAGTATTCTCTAGGCAAAATGTTCTGTTTCTTTGTTGAAAGCGGGCAGATTCGTTTAAACGGATCCGCCTTTGTGGTTCGGTTTTTACAGTTTCTTTTTGCCAGTTGGGCATAAGGTACTTTCTTTTGGTATCTGATTCGTTTCGTGTTAAAAGCGGTAGTGATGTTCTTCCCTTTCTTTTGCTTGAACATTTTCAACTTGGAAATAACTCGAAAGTATTGGCGCTGTCGCTTGCGGCAGTAATGTTTATTGTCCGTTGTTATTTATTGTTTTGTGTGTCGTTGCTAATATGATTATTAAGGGTAGCATGGGTCTTTTCAACAAGCCCATCGTCATCGACGGTAAAGATCACCTACTCGGACGTCTTGCCTCGATCGTCGCGAAGCAGTTGCTTCAAGGCGAGAAGGTCGTCGTCTTGAGATGCGAGGAAATCAACATCTCTGGAAATTTCCACCGATCAAAGCTGAAGTACATGAGCTTCCTTCGCAAGAGATGTAACATCAATCCTGCTCGAGGTGCTTTCCACTACCGATCACCAGGAAAGATCTTCTGGAGGACAGTGAGAGGTTAGTGCTCATATATTTTTCTCGCTTTCGTCTTTTTATATGTGCTCTAATTTTTTATTGTTTGCATCTACTTGTATCGGCTTAGTTTTGCTCTGTCAACATGCTTATTTGGCTCAAATAGGTTTTGTCCGTCCTTCTGAGGTTTACTTCATAGTGAGGTTTACTTCATAGAAATGACACCGGTCAGACTTCGCTGCTCAAATTCTTTTGGTCTTTCTTCACATGTCTCCATCTCTCCTCACACAAAGTTAGCTTGGAATGTGTTTGAAAGATGGAGAAGTGTGAAGGCTCAAAGGAATCGTGTTTTCGGCGCTTTTCAGCGAAGTCTGGCCGTTGCTCAACAGTAAAAAGGATATATCGTTTCAAGCAGGTAGGATAAAATGCGAAAGGTTTTATGTTACTTTATGATCAGCATTTGCGCTGGTTTACACCCATGTCATATGAATCATAGTAGGAGCACACTGGTGTATTCGTGTGCTGACTACAGTTTCTTTGTCCTTTTCCACCTAGTTTGCAGATGAATTTCGCTCTTCAGTTACGATT